CAGGGCACTGTGCTAAGTGATATAAATACAACATAAGACCTGATCCCTGCCCTGTGGGAGGTCACAGGCTACTTGAAGTAAAAAGTGAGTTAATTACAAGGTACAGAGATTATAATACAGAGGAGCATGTGATTAACTGCCCGAGGTCAGGAAAGAAGGTATTTTAGAGAGGGTGATTTCACTGTATGACTATTATATTAATATAAACTTTACCCTTGTTATGGATTCAACTGGCTGACAAGGACAAATAGCATCAACTCTTTAAAAAAGGAAATTCCTTCCATAGCAAATTATTATTAGAAATCACTAAAATTTTCTAATATTACCAGTTAATCCTCTTGGTAAAGCTGTTTGAAGGCAGTGTAGCCTCAGTAGATTACCTAAAAATTACTCTAATTATATTAATTTTAAAAGAAATATAATCATTTACTCATTCATAGTATGATTATTATTATTTGGCTAGAGTTGTATTTACATATCCTTAAGAGTTAGATGAGTCACTTTCTTTTGTTTGGATTACTTCTTTCACTCATTAGCAAACTGTATGATTACTCATGTCACCCCACATGGAGCAAGCACAAGGATGTAGGTTTTGACCAGTTTAGGAACTCCCAACTTTGGAGTCCACTCATAAGTAAGCCCACTCCTGCTTAGTGCAATGCCTCTGTTATTATTGCAGATCCAAGAGAAGGAAGCCTCTTCAGTCTACTTCACTTTCTTAATTATTTCCATGATATAAATGCAGTGGTAAAAGTAACACAGTATTGCTGTACATAACAAATAATACTGACAAATTGACTTCTTGAAAGTGAAATTCAGAATGACAGTGGAGCCTTAAAAGAAATGAGTATTTAAAAATATTTTTTCATTCTTCCTCCATTTTAACTAAAATTATTCTTTAAAACAGGGTTACAAATTCAAATGCTACAGAGACCAAGTATGTCATTCTGGCCAAATATAATACAGCTGGGGGAGGGAGCGCATGCATGCTCTATCTAAAAGCGTCCAAATACAACTTACTAAGTGAAACATACTTCCCAAATAAAACACCACTGCAGGCTATATGACCTCTGATCTTAATCTCTGCTTTAAAATTAAATTCTTATACTTGTTTTTAGGTCAAATTTCATTGAATATTAGCTAGGCTATTTCAAAATGTTTGTCATTTAAGTATTTTAGTTAAGTATGATGGCTAAATTACAGGATTAACAGGGAAAGCTTGATATGTGGACTGTGTTAAGTAAATCCTTTACTTGGATTTTAATGTTCTCCAAGGTCCCTTCTAGCTCTAAAATTCCGTAATCCTTTGATAACCAATCTAGACATGATGGAAATATGTTTTAAATCCCAGATACATATTTTGGAACAATATCAATAACAAAGATGTAATTTGTATAATTTACATTACTCTTAGCAGCCCATTTTTAACACTTGCTAGAAATTATAGGTTATCTCAAATTTGGCATAGTATAATAAATACCCAAACATATATTTTTAGGAAATTTGCACAAGTTTTATTTATTATCCATTCAACCTAGAACAAGGATAGATATTTTGGATTTTTTCATTTGCTATTCTAGGAGTTGCTTTTCTGCGTACAGAAAAAATAGCTCCATTTCTTTCGATGTATAGTAAGTGGTTCAGTGGTTTTTTTTTCCCCCCGAGTCCCTTCACTTGTGTTCCCTTTGTACAAAAGTACAAAAAAGTACACCAACTTTTGTTGGTGGGTCATGGTAGAGGTAGGCATCAGCTACCCTTAATTTACCATGTACCAAATACTATGTTTTCTATATGTCACACCATTTAACAGCTCTGTGAGCCCTGAGATGCTATTATGATCCATATCTGATAGACTAGGAAACTGAGGCTCAGAGAAATTAGGAAGGAGAACTAGGATTGAAACACAGCTGTCTCCAAACAGGCTCTTAACCTCAATGTCACACTAACTCTGAGAGGTGTATGAAAAAATTTTGTCACCTGGCAACTTATAATCTAGTTAGATACAGATGAAAGTTATTGCAAGGGAATTGTTTAATACCTAGCATTTATTGAGTGCTTACAATATGCTAGGCACTACTGTAAGAATCTTCTACACAATTGCCTTTAACCCCTGCAGAAGCCCAGTCGGATAGTTGCTAATTTTCCAGCTTTACAAATGGGGAAGCAGAGGCTCAGAAAAGTTAACAAACATTACTGAGATCATACAGCTAAGAAATAAAGCTGTGATTCAGATCAAGGGCTTCCTGGCACCTTACCAGTGCACTTTCCACTACACCACACAGTTTCTGAGAGCCGATAAGCTCAAGCTGACAGTCACAGTTCACATTTAAAAGTTGGATACATTAAATAGGGTTACAAACTGCAAAAAAGCCTAGAATATGCCCTTTGCTGTGTCACTCATTTCCTGTACCACTTCCATGATCAGGTAGGTATGCATCACTGTCCTCTTACTTACTTAACATTTTTCTTGGATCGCTCTCTTTTAAAGATTAAAAAAAAAAAAAACTTTACTGTCCTTACTGTATTAATTATCTATTGTAATATAACAAGTTACCCCCAAAGTTAATGGATTAAACCAAGAAGCAGTTATTAAGTCATGCATTTTCTGAGAGTCAGGAATTTGGGAGCAGCTTCTTAGCTGCATCGTCCTGGGACTCCCATGAGGTTACAGTCAGACTGTCAGTGGGGGCTGCAATCATCTGAAAGTTCACCCTATTCACACTGCTTTCGGCAGGAAGCTTCATTTCCTCACTACGTGGGCCTCCTCTAGGGCTGCTGTCAGTTGGCATCCCTCAAAACAAATGATCCACAAGAGAGTGTGTCCAATATGCAAACTTTATAACTTAATCTCAGATGTGACGTACTGTCACTTCTGTGTTATTTCATTGTCCACACAGACCAATCCTGGTATAGTACGGGAGGGACTACACAGAGACCCTTGGAGGCCATCGTGGAGGCTGACTACCACACCTACCATAAATAGAAATCAGAATCATCTGCCAAAAATAGATTTTAACCACAAAAATAAATACAATGCAAACAAAACAATGTTAAATTCCAGCTAGCTTGAAAGCTTTTCTTTTGATATCTACTCTCTATGAGTTAGGGAATTTACCAAGTGATGTGAGACACAGACACTCTAAACTAAGATGTCTCATTGTCTTATCGAAACGTTTGACAGGGAATGACTATTAGTGGTTCATGCCCATGCCTTATAAAATAGTGACTAGTTGAAACTACTTGTTTTATAGACAAGACATAGACAGACTTGCCCAACTTCATACTAATAACCAGATAGGAATAATTTTAACTTAAAGATACAATGCCCCCTGATCCTATAGTTCACATTCTTAGATGTGCTTGAGACATATCTGGGATAAAGAAATCATTATTAGCATAATATGCACATTCTGATTTTGGTTGGATATAATTAAACATTTTCTTTTTAGCCAGTGAGTAATTTTTTCAGTTGTCTCTTCCAGTAACTGCAGGACAGTGGTTTGGCGGTATTGTTATGGAGTAGAACTTCTTTATAACTGCTTCAACTATTGATACAGCTATTGTTTCTTTAAAAGAGGATAGAATTATTGGTTTGGTGCTTGCATTTCATGTTCAAGTACAGCAGCTAGGAAACTTACACAACACAGAAAGGAATCGAAACAGCTGGTACAAACATTTGGCACTGGAAAGCAGCTCTGGAACAAAGCTGAACTGTAGGCCCTTAGTCAACTCTGTGGCCTATTTCTCACAAAGAATTGAACCTGATACAGTTAATTACCTACCCAAAACTAACGCTTAAAGATTGTTGTCATTTATCATATTAGGACGAAGTAAATATAGTATGTTTTCATCCAAGGCAAGTCTTAGGTTGTCCTAAGTATAAAGGATCTGGCCCCAAACATCAGAACCAGGTATATTCAACCTAGTGAATTTTTTTCTTTTGAGTATGATTTATTTTTGAGCAGAGAAATAGCTTGCAGTCCAATGAAGACTGTAGCCTGCAGTATAAGGTGCATGGGCTCTGAGTTATCTAGAGTAGCAGTGCCCAACCTTTTTGGCATCAGGGAGCGATGCTCTTATGAGAATCTAATGCCTGATGACCTGAGGTGGAGCTGAGGCTGTGATGCTAAGTGCTGGGGAGCAACTGCAAATATAGATGAAGCTTCGCTCACTTGCCTGCCGCTCATCTCCTGCTGTACTACCCTGTCCCTAACAGGTTAGGGATCCCTCATCTAGTGTATTTAGGTGTGCTGGTCTCATGTAGGAGAGTCCTTTCAGTTTTTGCCAAGCCAACATATCCTCCAATAGTTTTCTTCAACACTCAATAACAGATTAAAAGAAAACGACAAGAATGTGCATATGGGAATGGTGGGAGACTTTCAGTCTTTTCCTTTTAAATTTTCCTTGAAATTTTTTGCCAAGTGAAAACTGTACTTCTGCCTCTAACACATTATTTAATAACTGCGTACCAGAAGACTTTAGACAGTAGTGGTCTTTAAATTAGTATTTGGGGGTCAATGGTGAATTCAAACATTCTTATATTCTAAAAGTATATGAAATAATTAACAAACTTCTGTATTTACCTATCGCTTCATTTAAAATTGGGAAGGGAGCATATTTTATTGCATGTGGTGGCATAATGTTGAATGAAAGTCATTTTCCCTTTGGGACTCTCAGTATTTTTAAGACAGTTTCCTTAGTCCTGCTTAGCATTAGGTCAGAAGTCATAATAAAATGGTGATTACAGACATCTTCTGTAACTGTTAAAAGAAACTTTTTAAAGCACAGTTTACCAAGGAAGAGGTTATTCTCCGTGGGTAGTAAGTGGAAAGGGGCAAGAAGAGGGCTTTTAAGGTCCTGTTCTGCTTCTTGATCTGAGCGCTGTTACGTAGAAGTGCTCATGAAAATTTATTAGGTGGTACACTTATGGTTTCTGCAGTTTTCTATATTCTTCCATAAAGTGTTTTTTTAATGAATTACGTTTAATTTGTTGAACAGAATAAGAGACCTTTTTTAGTTGAACTTTCAACTTTGTAATGGCAATGTAAACACGTACACTGTACCTTCCTTAATCAATGCCTTGACTATGATCCACCTAAAACAAAAACAGAAAGAGTCGCGCCAGAAAAATATCCTTTAAAAGACAGGTGATATTTTAACAGTGCCTTTATTTTCCATATAGGACAGCACAATTATCTTTGTGCTGGAAGAAATGATTGTATCATTGACAAAATTAGAAGAAAAAACTGCCCAGCATGCCGTTATCGAAAATGTCTTCAAGCTGGAATGAACCTGGAAGGTAATGTAACTACGTGAATTGTCTCTGCATAGTATAAGAATTTATCATTTTACTTTTTAAAATAGGTGATGTAATAATTTATTTAAGTATAATAATATAAAGTAGGAATAATATAAAGCAATAATATTATTATAAGCAATATTATTATGAGCAATAATAGAGAGTAGGAATCTTTAATGAATATTTCATTATTCACCAGCTCTTATTACAGAATTCAGTATAGCCAGACTTTATACTAAGAAGGAAATTATATAATAATGAAACTTACAGAACTTGAAGCAGTGTTACTTTTATAGATCTGCGGGGCAGGCGGGGGAACTCTTCAGGGTGGCACTGGGTGGGTTTTATGTTTTTCAAGTAAAAAAACCTGAAACTAGCAAGGAGGCTTATGACATTATCAGATTTCATACCTATAATTTAAAAGTCAGCTTTAAAATATTAAGATCTTTACTTTTATTAAGAAAGAAGTGGAGCTGCCACAGACTCCTGAACACTTCTGTAGAGATCACATATTGACTGCTCATCTACTATATGTGCCAAGGAGTGAGGAACTTTATATAGAGTAAAGATCTCATTAACTAAATTGTTTAAAACACAGATTGCTTAACTAATTCAGTTAAAAATCCTTGCCAAAGTTATATGAAAACACATTAGTACACTTTCTTGCTTTAGTCAGTGTGACACAATTGTGCATTCTTTTTGAGCTTTATTCAGAAGCATCAGTTCCCTCATTTAGGATTATGGATAGTTTTAAGAAATTGGTTACCGAGTCACAGAAGATTTTTTAAAGTCCTTTACCTTGTCATTATCCTTCTCTGTTCTAATGTGGAGTATAGGAACACATTTTATACAATTTAAAGTTATGGTTATTTGAGGTTTTTACAGTACTCCTTCAGTATACTGATTTGGGCCATGCATGTTCTTTTACTGTGTCGACAAGCACATTCCATGATTTTGAGACCTGGGTGTCAGTGAGACACCTTTGTTGTTTGAAGGGTGTATGGGAGCTCTTCCTTTTTCTAAACTTTATTGCTCCTTTATAGGAGCAATAAAGTCTAAACTCAAAATATTCTAAAACTCTATCCCCTACCAGTGAGGTACTGACAGCTCTTATAATAGCACTTAATGTGTGCCAGAAACTTTTCTAAGCATTTTACATATTTTACTAGATTCAGTTCTCAACCTCCCTGGGAGGTAGGTACTAATATTATCTTCATTTTACCCAAGAAGAAACTAAGGCCCAGGGAATAACTTGCACAGATACCTGAAATTCAGCCATGTTGGTTTCAGATTCATGTTCTTTACACCATACCTTGTCTGCAGGTGACCATGGTGAAATAAATTAGATCTATCATGACCCTGTTTCTGTTTTGAAATGTTAACTAAAAATTCTTAAAACTTCTTAGGACCACATTCAGCACAGTAAGAAATGGGACCATTCTACTTAATGTAAACAACGGGCTTTTTTTTCCCCTTTCTAACACCAGATACAGTTCCTGCCCATAATACCTATCATCCACAACCTATTTAAAATATGATCACCTTTTCCTTTAGCAAAATGGCTTATATCTTTGAAAACTAAGCCAGGCGCATTTCTTGCCCTTCCTTGGAGCTCTGAGTACATTCTCTTTAAGAATACTATGCAGCACACATACTAAAAAAGTATAATTCTTATTTGTCACTAAAACAGATAAAGAGTATGTCTACGTTTATTAGAAGTCTACAGCATCCATGTTGTAATTTGATTACGTTGTTCCATACTAAGTCAAAGATGGCTTTAGTTTATTGTTGATACATATATATAGGAAAATGGATTTGTAAAATTTAGGTTTATAGAATCATCAATATAATCTCTTATAAAAGAGAAATTACCCACTGATAATTCATGTGGAGAAATGTAAAGTTTTTTTATTTTTCCAAATGTTTTTAGGCCCAAGTAATACCCATCGTTACAGGTTAAAAAAAAAAAAAAAGGTAAAAAAAGGTAGATTTTTCTGCTGTTAGAACTATCTTTAGCATGTGATCTGCTATATCATCTTCCCATCTTGATGTGAAGGGTACCTTGTGCAGTGTATATAAATAGTATAGCTCTATTTCACTATATATATTACTGTAATTTGGATTAACCCTGAGCCACAGTTTCCGGTCTGGTATCACAAGCTTAGATTCTTTCTTTCAATTGATAGTAAAAGTAATTTGCCTTATATAACCAATGAAAATTTTGACTTTGGAGCAAAAGATTAATTTATGGAAGACTCTACAGAAGTGATTTATTTATATTGCTTTACCATAATAAGACACTCAATTTTGTATAAAAAATAACTAATGAAAAAGTAACTAGCATATTTGTAGAGGAAACTAATATATGCATGGGTTTCTCTTTGTCCTTTGCTTTCAGGGGAAAAAAAGTTTTTCTTACTCCATGTCACTTTATCATAAATAAAACATTTCTCTTTTAATCTAAATAGTTTTAGAAAGTAAGATACCTGTTGAATAAACTGTTCCACCTAACCTTCCTATTGCAACTCATTTCTGTGTATTTTTTTCATACCTATAGCTCGAAAAACAAAGAAAAAGATAAAAGGAATTCAGCAGGCCACTACAGGAATCTCACAAGAAACCTCTGAAAATCCCGCCAACAAAACAATAGTTCCTGCAACACTGCCGCAACTCACGCCCACCCTGGTGTCACTGTTGGAGGTCATCGAACCTGAGGTGTTATATGCAGGCTATGACAGCTCTGCTCCAGATTCGACATGGCGGATCATGAGCACGCTTAATATGTTAGGCGGGCGGCAAGTGATTGCAGCAGTGAAATGGGCCAAGGCGATACCAGGTAAGATGCAAAAAATGACACAGCTAAGGTACAAACCTATGTATTTTCCTTTTTTAAAACTTAGTTTTGTCTACGACCCATGCCGCACTGAACAAGCCCGATCCTGTCTGATCTCAGAAGCTAAGCAGGATCAGGCCTGGTTAGTACTTGGATGGGAGACCACCTAGGAAAACCTGGTGCTATAAGCATAAAAAAATAAAAATAGTAAGGGATTCTAAGCTGACAAGGTCCTTGCAATCTGTGAGGTCAACCAACGGTTGCCTCACCTTAAAAAAAAAAAAAGGAAAGAAACTTAGTTTCAGGTGTACAATATGGTGATTCTACATTTGTACCTTATGATGTGACAGCCATGATATTATCTAATAACCATCTGTCACCATGCAAAGATCTTACTGACTTTATTCCCCGTGCTGAACCAGTATAGAGTCTGTACTTCTTATTCACCTTTGGCATTCATCCTTCTCCCATCTGGCAATCTCCAGTTTGCTCTCTTTTATCTATGAGTCTGTTTCTTAAAAACACTCTGGCTCTTTGTCACCCTGGTCTCCTTGTTAGTTCTAGGGACTAACAAAGGGAAAGCCAGGTAAATATGGGAGAATGGAGAGTCTATAATAAAAGTTTTACACTGCTCCTACTTTTCAGATAGTTATTCAGAGGATAGTAACAGACATAGGACATTATAACACAAGTCCTGAACTAGAGTTACAGGACTTACTCAGACTTCCTTTTACACTTAAGTAGGGGAAGAAAATGTATAATATTTCTAAGAATTCAAGTTTGTTTTCCTTCAATGTATTGTTTTTAAAAATCAAGCATGTTGACATTATGTATTAAAGTAAAATGATTTTAACTCCACTACATAAAATGGTACGCATTTAATGTAAATTCTAGTTAATCTAATTTGTAAGATAGTTTGAAATAAAAGTTGCCCTATTAGAACTTGATGTGAAATAGCAGAAGTCAGCGTTAGTGTCCACCCTGACTTTACATTTAGAGGGGACTTATCACACACGGTTAGGACAAGAATAAAGTGGCCTGATCTGCTGTCATTCCTACTCTGTCAGGGGAGAAAGAGTAATGTCCCAAGTCAGGACTCTTGGCTTTCTGTTTGACTGTTTAGTTCATGTTTACTTAAATAGGCAAAAGGTGCCAAAAACTGGCTACTCAAGTTTTCAAACATGGAATGCTATTAAAAAGTACTGAGGTCTTGTCACATGACAAAGGAAGACTGAGCCCACTTTGTTAGAGGTCCCGCAAAACAAGACTAATTCATATCTGGTCTTTGGCAGTTCTGAGAGAGATGATCTTCTCTTTGGCACCTAGTTTTCCTCACACTTTTCTTTCTTTTAATTTAGGATTCAGGAACTTACACCTGGATGACCAAATGATCCTACTGCAATATTCATGGATGTTCCTCATGGCATTTGCCCTGGGATGGAGATCATATAGACAGTCAAGTGCAAACCTGCTGTGTTTTGCTCCTGACTTGATTATTAATGAGTAAGTCATTTGTGAGTCCTTTTCCTTGTGTTCATAGGGTAGCTTTAACCAGCTGTTTTCCTGATGGACTGCTAATGTGATCATTCAGGACTGACTCAATGCCACCAAGTATCTTGGAATTGGGCAAATTTGAAAGAGAGTAGCTTATCAACGTTTTAGGTTAGCCAAGTATAATGTGGAGCAAATGTACATGTGGCATTTTTACTGCTCCAGGACGTATTAATGATACTATTTAAACCATGAGCATCTCTGGGGTCAGTAAAGTCTATAGCAGTTTTATGGTGGCATTGTTTTAATTACATAACTTTATTCCAGAAAGGAAAAGGAACACGATACAATTCTTGTTCATCTCACTTTCAGTAGGGACAGTTATAGATGAGGGAGTAGTGGGTATGGACCCAGAGACACAAGGTATCTCTTTGCATAGCAAGACTCACTCAACGTTTATGACTTGGACAGAATTGGGAACAAGAATTTTTAATTAGTTTTAAGATTTTATAAATCAACTGTCCTCTGGCTGTCTAGGCCCATGCTTTTATCTGAAATATTTCAGATGTCCATTCCCACTTACCTCATATTACAGTGGATTCTGAACTCATTTTCTGCCTCCAGTGTATCCTATCATGCTGACAAATTTTTTCTTCCTAAAGCACCATTGCTCACGTATCTCCCCAACACACAGATGTCTTCAGTGTCCCCTCGCTAAACACCCAGTACACTCAGCATGGTTTCTGGCTTCCCATAACCTGGCCTCCCTTTCTCTCTTTGTTCTCCTTCACCTGTTCATCATTCCCACTCAGGTGATCCATTCCTCGAACATACCCTCAGTTTGTGATGTGCATATCACCATAAAAGACCTCTCTGCTATCTATCTCAAGCTCATATCACTTTCTACCTTCTGTTACTACTTTTTGTGCCCATGGCTAATCTCCTTTATTAGAATACATACAGGGATACACACTATCACATATCTACCCATGGCCAGAGCAGAGTGAAAAATGAAGGGGATTTGTGTTTGGGGGAAAACAGATGTATATTTATTTGTGATCTCTGGGTACTTACTGTTGGCAGGGGTTCAAAAAGTTAATGAAATCTTGAACCACATTAGTAGAATAGTCCCATTGTCCTCCACATGAGTCAAGCATCATTAGTAGTTTGTGTTCATAACTGGATGCCATATTAAAAGTACCAGTGACAACTTTAAATATGTGCAGAATGGCAAGGAGTTTGGAAATTAGCCTCAGTTGATGAACAGAATATTTGGAGGGAAGAGAAAAGGAGACTTGAATGTAATGAAGACAGCTGAAACATTCTGTGAATATCAAGCAAACATTGTTTTATCTCTTGGGTATGCCTGGCACAAAAATAATGCGTAGAAGTTATAGAATAGCATCTATTTGAGCCGAGTGTTAAAGGGGAGGGCCTGCATTATGATGTAGTAAGCTCGTGTTTTTAGTGTTTTAGTAGACTGGATGATACTAGCTCCAAAAGTTTTAAAGGAAATTCTTAGGTATTATGTAAGAAGCTTTAAGTAGTGGGGTACATCTTTATTCTACCTGGCAATTCCAAGACCATATATATGGCATGACAAATGGGAACTACCTAAAGCAGAGATTTCAGGTGTTAGGTTAGCTGGCTGAGCTACTGAGTTAAAGATGCTTACTTTCTAGCATGGTATGCACTCAGGGTTATATGAGTACTTACCAAGCGCCTGGTAGGAGCTTCAGCTAGAACAATAAGCACAACAGATGAGGGCCCTGCTAACGGTCTGATGGGGAAATTCAAATAAATGACCAAAGTTATTTCAGGTATAATAGGGACTGAGGGGAGAGAGCTGTTAGATTCGGGGACCATGGAAAGACCTTTCTAAACAGAACAAGCTGTGTGGAAGGTAGGGCATCCTGGGCAGAAGAAATGAGTGTACAAAGGCTGGAAACAACCTTAGCATGTGTGAGGAATTGAGAGAAAGCCATGGAGGATACTGTATGAGTTTAGAGAAGTGGACAGGGGCCAATTCGAGCAGAATCTTGTAGGCCATGATACAGAGTTTAGATTTTATCCTAGAAGAAACCAGTGGAAGGTTTTAAAAAAGAGAATAACATGATGGAGAATGGATTAGAGGGGAACAACTATTACTCATCATACCCCTAATATGTTACCTGGTACATATTAGCAAAGGAATATAACAGAGAACGAGACAAACAAGGTTCCTTATCTTTACTGCTTACATTCTAGCTGGAGAAACACATAACCACTAAATAAAATAATTTCAGATTGTGATAGTTTTTACTAGAGAGCGGTCTATTTCAGATAGGGTAGTTAATGGCTTTCTTAGAGGAGGTGTCATTTGAACTGAGTGAGACCTGGAGAAGGACCAAGCCTCACAGTGAGAAGCAAGATGACAAGAGACATGGGAAATATATGTGCTGCAATCTTTGTATTCCCAGAAAGGGCAGTGTCTCTGCTCTTAGCTAATAGGCACTGTGTGTGCTTGGCCAGACCAGGCCTCCACACAGACACTCGTAAGGCCTCTGTGTCAGAAAGTCACTTCGTTGCCAAAAAGAAGACTGTTCGAACCGCCCCATCACAATTTAACAAGATTTTTCTTCAATAAAATTTTAACTGATAAATATGTGTAAACTCAGAGACATTTTCAATTTCTAAGTACTTGTTGACTCCAACCATGCTTACTTATAGTCACTTTCTAAAAAGCAATTTGAAGTCATTTAATCGGGATTAAAACTGAACAGAGATTTATATGAAACAATGGTTTATCCTCTTTTATAAAATTAACTCAGGGTTTTTATTTTGGCAATACTCAAATTTAAACAGTCACAGCATAACCACATACATTCCTTAAACATAGTAGGAATTACAGAAAAATTTTCTCAGTGTTCAGCTCTTTTGGAAGATAAAGGGTTTATACGAACAGTAGTTTTGAAGAGGCCATTCTGACTTCACATTCTTTTTTGTGTATGAGATGGGCAGGCCTTCTGCTCTTTTAGCTCACTGTGTTTTCCATAGTGCTCTGGTGTCCGCAATAGGCAGATTCTGGATGTCAGAAAGTACACATTCAAGTTCTGACCATCCAGGTAGCTGTAAGACAGTCTCTCATCATTGTCCTTAGGTCAGGATATTGGGGAAAATACTTTTTTACTCTACTACTTATAACTTTGTTGAAGTTACTATGTATTAGAAACCAAAGGAGAAAAAGATACTTGTCAGAAAAGGAGTGTATAATTCCTGTTAAGAGATTGGGAAGGTGCCTCTGTAAAACAAAAAAAAAAAACAAAAGCCTTTTGGTTTTTAAATGGGTAGGACCTAACACTGTGTTATCTAGTTGGCCATATTCAAATGCTACCATAAAACCTTGATTTAAACGAACAAGCGGTAATAAATTCTATAGGAATAATAAATTCTAAACACTGAAGTAAACAATACATGGCACGCATGATAGAAAAATAATTTCTCCAATGTAAAATTATGTTACTGAGTATCTTAGATACTACTCAGTATCTAAACCCAAGTTTAAGGAAAGTTTTCGAAATTCTGACCTTAATAGTAACAAGTTTTCCTTTATGCACTCAGTTTTGCAAAATAAAACATACATTTTTGGAAGAAGCACTATTTTCCTAATTCGAACACTGATATTTGTCTTTCACAGGCAGAGGATGGCTCTACCCTGCATGTATGACCAATGCAAACACATGCTGTTTGTTTCCTCTGAGTTAAACAGGCTTCAGGTATCTTATGAAGAGTATCTCTGCATGAAAACCTTACTGCTTCTCTCTTCAGGTTTGTGGACCACCTTTCACTTCTAAATATGTCAAAAGCATGAAATGTTGATGTTTGATTTGTATGCATAGCAATATTATGCTATTATACTATATGATACTACTATTATTTCCTGCTGGCCAGATAGGTTTTCATAAACGTTAAAATTTTAGAAAGGCACAGCCAATGATACCAAGATTAATAAGACAAATAGGTGTCGTGGAGAAACAGAGGTATATGAGCTGCACAGGAGTCTCTGTTGAATGTGTATAGACGTCCTCCACCTGCCTCTATGGGAGACATGGAGAAAGAAAACTAACAAATGATTTTTGTTTCTACTACATTGTTACTACATTAATCAAAAATTTTACTTAGTGTTACTGGGTATAAGACATTATGGGAAAAAAAAAAACGACATGCTTGATTACTATTAGAGGATTGGTTAATGCAGCACTGGAGCTGGACTTCTGGACAGAGGTATTCCATCTAGAAAACAGCAATAAAAGTTTAGATAAACTTTCAAGATTGTTTTATAAAGTTTCTGGTATATATAATAGACTACTTACAGCTAGCAAAGGCATTAGTTAAGACTAGAAAGCTTTTGAAAAATACAAAGTATCTTGTCTATAGTAGGACAAATATAAATATAAAAGAATGTGAACCAGTTGGCTATGCCAGTAAAAATTATGTATGGAGTTAGTGTTTATAAAATACTGAGTTGATGGCTGAATACCTTTTTTCACATATAAATAAGGATATTTGCAATTTTTCTTAAAGCCTTCATTCCGTAGTAACTGGTTTCCAAGTTGTCAAATAACTTTAAGCTGTTAATATTGCACATGACTATTTAAGCTTTTATAATGCTTTCATACTATCTTTGTTCTACAAAATTGTTTTATTTTCATGGATTTAAAACATATTAATAATACTGAATCAAGGCAAGGGCATTTTCCACAACCCATTAAAAAGCCTAAAGGTAAAGATCATTGCTAGAGACTTTTAACATTACCCACAGCAGTAGACTTGTTAAAGGAGTGAGCTTGGTGTTATTTGAGTAAACAAAAGCTCTGTCATGATTGATAACATGCAAGTATAAGTCAGGGCCAAGATATTAACCAATCTTATTTGTTTAAAAAAAAGTTATTAAAGTTTTATATATATCGGACTAACTGAACTATATGTATTTTTTAAATTGTAGATAAGAAAAAATTGAACTAGTATGTAGCACTGGTATTTTTTTAAAAATAGCATCACAAGGTAATTAGACTTCTACTCTGATAGATTACTGAAATAGTACCCTACCTAACCTCTCACAAAAAACGCTGGACGAAAACTAAGTGTAGGCAGGAACCCAAAGAGGTAAGCTAGCTTTCTCTTAGGGAGTATTTTCAGAGCCTGGAAGTTGGTATATTTAGTAAGTTTAAAGATAGAGTTGGAAGTATAATTGAAAAAAACAATAGATGGATCTAAAAGCATATCAAACACATCTGAAGAGACATTTAAATTAAATAAATTCAGTTTAAATAAAAAATCTGAATAAGCCAGAATTTCTAAATGCATGTGTGTGTGATGTATGTAAACGAGTAAGAGGATAAGAGGCATGATTGAAGGAGGTCTAAAACAATGCTTCACGACTCGAAATTTCCATGTCATAATGAACATAAAAAATAGCATTTGTACAGCACAGCAAATTATCTTAACACTTTGGTAACCCATTTACAGTGCACCAGCTGAAAAATGCTCTGGTATAACATAATCATGAGATCCAAAATGAAAAGTGAGACTAGGAAAAGGCATATGAAGAGATAATGGCTGAAAACTTTCCAGAGCTTTTAAAAAACCCAAACCCCTATATCCAGGCAGTGTAATGAATTCCACCTAATATATTAGTAAAATCTGGCTGAATGAACAGCAAGGTTAACAAGAAAATCACTGAATAGGCAGAGAAAAAAAGATCTTCAAAGGAGGCAATTTAACAGAACAGCAGCAATTGAAGAAAATGGAATGATGGTTTTCAAAATGCTAAGGAAAAATTGAAAAATGAAGGTGGACTTCCAGTTTCAGCTCTGGCAAATAAACAGCTTGGATATTTTCACACTTATCCTCACAACAAGGAAAAGCTGAACAAACTGAAAAACAGTGACTTTTCTTAGATCAGTCAGCAAACTGAGATCACAAGGCAAATCCCCACCTCCATCTAGAGAAATGGGCAGATATAGAGAAGCATGGCCAAGATCAGCTTATTGGGAACAGAAGCTGCTGGAGCTAGGAACTGTCAGGAACACTGAAGGTAATTTTGCTGAATTCTGGAGACTGAATGAGGAGCTGGAGAGTTCAAAATTCCTGGGGACCCAGTCTCGGGGGGCGGAGGGGTTGTCCCCCCTTACTGTCTTGGGTTCTAGCTCCAGAACCCTTACCAGATTCTCACTGTGACAGTAAGAAAAAGAGCTCCTCATGTTTCTGTCCCTAAGGAAACCTGCTGTAACAAAGTTTGATCTGGGGGAAAGGAAGAAAGAAAAAAAAGAGATTCAGAAACACTTCTGAAGGACACAGCCCAGGGACCAACCCTCCTAAAAAAACTGAGGTTTAATCAAAGGTATAAAACACTATACATCCCAACACCATATCAACAGGGATCCAACATAATAGCGCCAGACTGACATCAATCCTCACACTGAAAACCTAAATACTTCAGCTGTGACACATCATTTCCAGCTTTCAGCAAAATACGACAAGGTATGCTAAAAGAAAACACACATTCTGAAGAAAAGAAGCATTAAAGCAAGACATAGATATGGCATGGATGTTGTAATTATCAGAGAGGGAATTTAAAATAGCTGATTACTGTGTTAAGGACTATAATGGAAAAAGTAAACAGCATGCAGCAACACATGGGTAATGTAAGCAGAGAGGTGGAAATTTTAAAAAATAATCAAAAGGAAATAATACTGTAATGGAAGTGAAGAATGCTGTTGTCGGGCTTATCAGTCTACTGGACATAACCGAGGAAAGAATGAGCTTGAAGACAGTCAACAGAAACTTAGCAGAGTCAAATGCAAAGAGAAAAATGAAAAACAAAATGGAACGATATTTAAGAATAGGAGGGACCATTACAAAAGATGTAACACACAAGTAATGGGAAAATCAGAAGTAAAAGAAAAGAAGAAATATTTGAAGTAACAAGGGCTGAGAATCTTCCAAAATTAGTGACAGACTCTAAAAGATAGCTCCAGGAAGCTCAGAAAACATGAAAAAAGATAAATACCAAAAAACTTAAACCTAGGCTATTTTATTCAAACTGCAGAAAACCAAAGATAAAGAAGAAATCTTGAAAAAAGCCAGAAGGGGTGGGGAAAGGAACATACCTTTGGAAGAACAAGGATAAGAATTACATCAGAATTCTGTCATCAGAAACCATGCAAACGAGAGACTGGTGTGAAATATTTAATGCTGAAGGGGGAAAAAAATGCCAATTTAGAATTCTGTGTTCAATGAAATTATCTTTCAAAAATGAAGGCAAAATAAAGACTTCTCAGACAAAACTTGAAAGAATTAGTCACTAATTGAAGGAAAATGATATAGGTAAGAGACATGAATCTAAATTTAAAAAGGAAGAATGTCAGAGAAAGAATAGTGGAAGATACAATTTCATTTTTTTTAACTGATCTATTAAAAGTAATAAAGCATCAATGTCTCGGATTATAACATATGGGTAAGTGAAATGAATGATGACAGCACTGTAAACAGGATAGGAGGGAAGAGTTGAGAATACTGTTTTAAGGTACCTGTACCACCTGAAGTAGAACAGTGAAAGATGCAGATTACAGTCGACCCTTGAACAACACAGATTTGAACTGCCCAGGTCCACCTATATGCAGATTTTTTAAATAAATACAGTCAGCCCTTTGTATCTACAGGTTTCATATCGTCGGATTCATATCGTCAGATTCAACCACTTCAGATCAAAAACATTATTTTCATATTTCCAACTGCAGTTGATTCAATCCACAGATAGGAAAAGCTGACTGTGGAGTCCAAAGTTATACATGGATTTTCGACTGTGCAGGGGGGGTCAGCACCCCAATCCCCATGTTGTTCAAGAGTCAACTGTGTTCTAAATGTATATTACAAACTCTAGGACAACCACTAAAAACAATTTTAAAAAGAAGTAATAATTGGTATACTGAGAAGAGAGAAAATATAATCATGAAATGCTCAATGAAAACTAGGAAAGGCAGAAAAAGAGGAAGATTAAAAAGAACAAATGCAATGAGCAGGAAAGTTACAAACGTGCTAGATCTTAATCCAGATATATTGCACAATTGCTTTAAATGTGAGTGGTCTAAATATATCAATAGTCTTTTTTTTTTTTTTAGTGAAAGTGAAAAGAAAGTTAGCCATCGCAAATCCTTAATAAAATAATATTAAAAGATATTAGGCTAAGGGAAAGTAATTCCATCTTTAAAAAGGAAAAAAGAACAAAGAAAAGGGTAAATATGTAGATACATGTTTCAGCTAACATTTACTGTATAAAATTGTAATAATGTCTGGTGATTTAAAAAAGTAGAACTTAAAGTCCACAATAATTACACGTAAGCAAAAATGAGAGATTAATAAATTAAGAATGAGTGTTTAAATCTTAAGGATGACAACTAGAAAGAGACTACAACACACCAAACCATTGTTGGGTAGGCAGGGGCAGGGGGTGGAGGTGCAGGGAGTAGAAAATAAGATTAAGAAAAAAAACCAATCCAAAAGAATGAAAGAAATGAGAGTAAAAAAAAAAAAAAAGCAAACAAAAAGTATATGAGCAAGTAACATAGGTAGTACAAATAAATTAAAATAAAACATATCAGCACTTTCTCAAGAGATGTATCTAAATAAATGGATGCACAGTACAACCCAGTAAATGCAAACTTTTTCTGTAAAAGGCCAGATGGTAAATGTTTTTGGCTTTGCATAGCGTGGTGTTAAGGCTACTTTTCCCCTTGTGGCACGAACACGTTAATATTCAACAATACTTAAAAGAGGACAGGCATGGCTCTCTTCCAGTAAAACATTTACACACAAGTGGGATTAGGCTATGAACCACAGTTTGCTGGCCACTACTTTAACCAAAAGAAAGCTGAAGCAGTTAATTATCAAAATAGACTTTAAGGCCAAAAAAGTTTTATATTTAAAGATACTTATTACATAAAGCATTCTACTTATAATGAAAATAACTTTAAATATAGAGCCTTCAGCTACATAAAGCAAAAATTCATGGAACTACAAGGATAATTTGAGATGGATGAAATTCTTTTAAAAATAAATATCGAATAGGGCTACTCACAATTATTTTTAGTTAGGATAACAAACAAGAAAAAATTATAAATAAGCAATCACTGTTTTTAAAATGTGCACTAATTAGAATATAAGTAACACGTGAAATCAATCCATCACTAACATGGTAGGCTTTATTATATGCTCTTATTACTCCTTATTAGGGGCCTTCATTTACGCATTGATACTGACATCTTAGAAGTGCCAAGTATAGCTTTTTGGAATCAAAACATTTTCGTATGTGTCCTTCAGTCCTATCCTAATCAAAGTCCACTGTGATACACCACATTTAAAAAATGAAAGATAAAAATATCTCAGTAGATGCAAAAAAAAAAAAAAAAAGGATTTGACAAAATTAAACATCTATGACAAAAACTCTCAACCAAGTGAGGTATAGAGGGAATGTACCTCAACATAATACAGGCCCTATGTAACAAACCCACAGCTAAAATTAAACTCATGGTGAAAAGCTGAAAGCTTTTCCTCTAGATCAGGAACAAGACAAGGATGTCCACCTTTGCCACTTTTACTCAGCACAGTATTGGAAGTCCTAGCCAAAGCAACTAAGACAAGAAAAAGAAATTAGAGGCATCTAAGTTGAAGAGGAGGAAGTAAAACTCTCACTTGCAGATAAAATATTATGTATAGAAAACTAAATACTCCACCAAAAAAACTGTTAAAACAAATAAACAAATTCAGTAAATTTTTAGGATACAAAATCAATATGCAAAAATATGTTGCATTTCTATAGAATAACAAGAGTAGAAAGAGAAATTAGGAAAACAATTCCATTTACAATTGCATCAAAAGAATAAAATACCTAGGAATGAATTTAACCAAGGAAGTGAAAGACCTGTATACTGGAAACTTAAGACATTGATGAAAGAAACTGAAGAATATACAAATGAAAGGATATTCTGTGCTCGTGGATTAGAAGAATATTGTTAAAATGTCCATACTGCCCAAAGCAATCTACAGTTGAATGTAAACCCTATCAAAATTCCAGTGGTATTTTTTCACAAAATAGGACAAACAAACCTAAAATTTGTATTGAACCATAAAAGACCGAGAATAGCTAAAACAATTTTGAAAAGGAACAAAGCTGAAGGCAGCATGCTCCCTGGTTTCAAATTATATTACAAAGTTATAGTAATCAAAACAGTATGGTTTCAGCATAAAAACAGACACAGATCAATGGACAGAATAGAGAGCCCAGAAATAAACTCACATATTTATGGTCAGTTAATTTATGATGAAGGAGCCAAGAATATACAATGGGGCAAAGGGACAGTAACTACTACATACAAATATTAACTTAAAATGGATCAAAAACTTGAATGTAACACCTGAAACGATAAAACTAGAAAACACAGATGATAAGCTCCCTGACATTGATCTCGGCAATGTTTTTTTTTTAATCTGACACCAAAAGCAAAAACAAGGCAGACTATAGCAAACGAAGGAAACCACTTGCGAGATAAAAGACAACCTACCAAATGGGAGATATTACAAATCATATATCTGATAAGGGGTTAATATCCAAAATGTATAAAGAAATCATAGAACTCAATAGGCAAAAAACAAACAATCCAATTGAAAAATGAGCATAAGGTCTAAAAAGACATTTTTCCAAAGACTACATACAGATGGCCAAAAAGTACATGAAAAGGTGTTCAACATCACTAATATCAGAGAAATGCAAATTAAAATCACAATGAGATACTACCTCACACACCTGTTAGAATGGCTATTATCAAAAAGACAAGAAATAAGTGTTGGCAAGGATGTGGAGAAAATGGAACTCATATACTATTGGTGGGAATGTACATTGGTGCAGCCACTATGGAAATCGGTATGGAGGTTCCTCAGCAAATTAAAAATAGAACTATCATATATGATTCAGCAATTCCACTTTTAGGTATGCTAACTCGAAAAGATATATATACTCCCATGTTCACTGAAGAATTATTTACAAAAGCAAAGATATGGAAGCAACCTAATGGTTAAAAATATGAAATACACACACATGTGTATGTGTGTATGTGTGATGAAATATAATTCAGCCATAAAAAAAGAATTAAATCTTGCCATTTGTGACAATGTGGATGGACCTAGAGGGCATTATGCTAAATGAAATGTCACTCAAAGAAAGACAAATACCATATGATCTCACTTACATGTGGAATCTAAAAACAAACAAATATTCTCATGGATCCTGATGATGTAAGGGGTGGGAGAAATAGGTGAAGTGAGTTAAAAAGTACAAACTTCTAGCTATAAAATAAATAAATCACAGGGATATAATGCACAGCATGGTGACTGTATTGTGTACTGGAAAGTTGTGAATACAGTAGATCTTCAGTTTTCATCAGAAGAAAAAACTTTTTTTGTAACAATGCAAGGTTACAAAATGCACTAGACATTGTGGTGGTCATTTTGCATTATGTACAAATATTTAATCATATGTACACCTGAAACTAATAATGCCATGTGTCAATTATATCTAAATTTTTTAAAAAGTTTAATGAGAACAGGAAACAAATCCACAGGGCAAGTACAAATTAAGACTTCATGCTCCTACACCCACTGCTTCTCCTAGATGCCAGCATTTCCTAAGATGCCAGCAGAGGTGATGTTAAGGTTGGGAAACAATGTCTCCCCCTCTGGAGACTGCATAATTATAGCTCTGCAAAGCCCTGAAGCCCAGAAACCCCCACCTCACTTTGTATGAAACACTTAGCTGTGCTTAAATTTTGACCATCAAATCCTTTTTTCCCTAACCATTAACACAGAACCAGAGTTCCTAGGAATACACTTTGAGAAATGTAACACTCTACAAAAGTCATAATGTCTGTAAGATTAAGTGAAACTGTAATTATCAGTTCACAATTCTTACTAGTATCATTTTTGAAGAGTAATATTTAAAAATTGATTTTATACCAATTTAATGATCCAGAATCCATGATGTATTTTATTTCTAAGTACATGAAGGAAGGCAGATATTTCCTCCCCAGTAAGGCATATATTATATATAGGCTACATAAAAAAGTCAAGTTTCTTTTTAGTTTGGAATCGTAACTCAGTATGTCAACACATTAATAAAATGTATTACCTGCTGATTTTAAGGTTCTAATGGACTGTGATATCACAGATATTCCAAAATGGAACTGGTGTAAATACTGTTGTTGAAGCTTTCTCTACATCTGCATTAGAATTAAACTGAAGGGCAGAATGACAGTCACTATCATTTATTTGGTCTTCGAACCACTTTTGTGAACTAGAAAGGAAGGTGTCATCACCAGCTTCATTTTACAAATGATAAAGTGATTTACCCAAGGTTAAGTCCTCCAATTTCCTATTATCCCATATTCTCTTGGCTGTAGTTTCATGATCCTTTGAAAATGCTTATATTTTAACAGAGAGCATTAAGAGCATTTAGACAATGTAAGTCATGAAGTGTGTTATTAATAATACTTGCATATGTGAAAAGTTATTACAAGAAAACTCTTTAACTGACTACATCTTAATCTTTTAGTTCCTAAGGAAGGTTTGAAGAGCCAAGAACTATTTGATGAAATCAGAATGACCTACATCAAAGAGCTAGGGAAAGCCATTGTCAAGAGGGAAGGAAACTCCAGTCAGAACTGGCAGCGGTTTTATCAGCTGACTAAACTCTTGGACTCCATGCATGAGGTAAACATCAAACACAAATCCAAATATCAGAATTTCCTGGGATATAAAGTATGTTCTAATTAGTGTATATAATTATATACCAAGAGGTTTCCTCCCCCCACCCCCCTCGCCCATTTGTGGATGTTGATGATGGTTTGAGTTCAAACTGTGAACTGCAGTTGGGCACACATTTTTCCTGAGGCCAGTTATGAAATTTCATTTCATCTAGTCACATGCATATAACATCATGATGCTAGCACAGAATTTAATAGCACTATTTAAAAAAATGTATAGTTCCTGTTTTTGCATGAATAACCCATTAAATTAGAATATGTTCTTCATATATTATGGTACTGCAATTCATCATGAAACACTTATTTTAATACCACATAATTCTATATACAATTTAAAGAATTTATGATGTCTTTGGTACCTGAGTGCTCATTTTATTTAACTAAACTTTTTATTTTTACTGGGGGAATTCCAGCAGAGATCGGTGTATCTAAGTCAGATGTTTAAAAAAAAAAAAAAAAAAAAATAGAGGCCAGCAAGCATGAGATAGCCCTACTGATAAGTTTTTAAGACTAATTATTACTGTATCTTCTCTTTCAGGTGGTTGAAAATCTCCTTCACTATTGCTTCCAAACATTTTTGGATAAGTCTATGAGTATTGAATTCCCAGAGATGTTAGCTGAAATCATCACCAACCAGTTACCAAAATATTCAAGTGGAAATATCAAAAAACTTCTGTTTCATCAAAAGTGACTGCCTTAATAAGAAAGGTTGCCTTAAAGAAAGTTGACTTTATAGCTTTTATTGTACAAACTATCAATTTGTCCTATAGGAGTTTTGTTGGGTTTTGTTTATGTCTGGGTTTTGTTTTTGTTTTGTTTTAAATACGCACTACATGTGGTTTAAAGAGGGCCAAGACTTGGCAACAAAAGTAGTTGAGCCATCACTTTTCAGTGATGGGAAAAGTAGGAATTGATAGTTGGTGGATCCCAGAAATTAGAAACAATGACATGGGGATAATCTCCACTGTTGGAGAAGGATGGCACCCAAACCACCAGTGCCCAAGTCTGCGTAATGAACTTTCTGCTCATACTTTTCACAGTTGGCTGGACAAAATTTTCTAGACTTTTTGTTGGTGTATTTTCCCCTGTATAGTTAGGATAGCATTTTTTGATTTATGCATGGAAACCTGAAAAAAGTTTACAAGTGTATATCAGAAAAGGGAAGTTGTGCCTTTTATAGTTATTACTGTCTGGTTTTAACAATTTCCTTTATATTCAGTGAACTACACTTGCTCATTTTTTCTTACATAATTTTTGTATTCAAGTTATTGTACAGCTGTTTAAGATGGGCAGCTAGTTCCTAGCTTTCCTTAATAAACTCTAAACATTAATCTTCAGTGTGAAAATGGGTTGGTGCTTCTAACCTGATGGCACTTAGCTATCAGAAGACCACAAAAATTGACTCAAATCTCCAGTATTCTTATCAAAAAAGCTCATATTTTGTATATATCTGCTTCAGTGGAGAATTATATAGGCTGTGCAAATTAACCGTCCTAACTGATGTAGAGCACCTAGTCCAGTGACCTGCTGGGTAAACTGTGGATGAAGGTTGCAAAAGACTAATTTAAAACAAAAAACTACCAAGAGGCCCTGTTTATAGCTGGCAAACTATCTTTCAGGACCTTTTGTTGTAGTTTGTATAACTTTTTAAAAGTTATGATTCCAGATAACCAGCTGAAACACAGCTAAGAGATTTTAATCTGATCAATTCCTCTCACTAAACTTCCCCAAAATAAATCTCTAATATGGCGAAAGTGGCTAGACACCCATTTTCACATTCCCACCTGTCACCAATTGGTTTATCTTTCCTGGTGGTACTTTCAGGAAAGCTCAGCTACTGATTTCTGTGATTTAGAACTGTATGTCAGACTTCCATGTTTGTAAAACTACACATCCCTCACATCCCTATGTGTGCCATAGAGTTTAACAAAAGTCTTGTGAATTTCTCCTCACTGTCAAGAATTATCATTTTAAACAAAATAGAAGCTGTAGTAGCCCTTTCTGTGTGCACCTCACCAACTTTCTGTAAACTCAAAACTTATATTTACTAAGCCACAAGAAATCTGATTTCTGTTCAAGGTGGCCAAACTATTTGTGTAATAGAAAACTGAAAATTAATATTAAAAGTATGAAACTTCTAATATATTTTTATATTTAGTTATAGTTTCAGATATATATCATATTGGTATTCACTAATCTGGGAAGGGAAGGGCTACTGCAGCTTTACATGCAATTTATTAAAATGATTGTAAAATAGCTTGTATAGTGTAAAATAAGAATGATTTTTAGATGAGATTGTTTTATCACGACATGTTATATATTTTTTGTAGGGGTCAAAGAAATGTCGATGGATAACCTATATGATTTATAGTGTGTGCGAGCATTCATACAGGCAGCAATGATCTCAAAAACCAAACAGGTTTGCTCTAGGGGAAGAGAGAGATGGAGACTGGCCCTGTGTGCAGTGACGGTTGCTGAGGCTCCATCCCACTCAGATCACAGAGGAAGTAATCCTCTGCCTCCCAGAATGACCACCTTTCTTATTCCAACAGTGAGTCCACATGGGTTTAGTTTACTAAAGTGTGTAAACAGGAGACAGAAAGGTGGTACTTACAACACGTACAGGCATCGTTTAACAGCAGGGATACTTTCACATACAGCCTCTCCAACAGTCTAATAAAAACAGAAGCTCTAGAAGTTGGGCAATAATACACATAGAGGTATCAGCAATATGTAAATAGTGCAGAATCTCATAGGTTGCCAATAATACACTAATTCCTTTCTATCCTACAAGAGTTCATTTCCAAACAAATTGAGGACATGTTTATTTTCTTTGAATGCTTTTTGAATGTTATTTGTTATATTTCAGTATTGTGGAGAAATTATTTAATAAAAATGTAATAATTTGCTTTTTGAATGTTCTCTAAAAGGGAATGTTCCTTTTGTAATGGTTTAAATTAATCTCAAAGTATTTTAAGAAGGTTTGTAACCCAGCTGGATGTGAACTTTTTGGTGTCTAAGAAATACGGCTTGAATATGATTATCAACAACAGTGTTAAGTTTCAAAAAGAAGTCCTGAAAGGTAAATTACTATTCACTAGAAAGCATGTCATCACACATTAATCTTTTAGTCCCAACGACCTTGGCTCTTAAAAAATATAGCTCAGTGAAAAAAGATATGTGCACTTTGTTGTTAAAAAGAAATCAACTGACATTCATAAAACTAGGGGAGGCTGCACATCAACTGGAAAGGAAAAAGAAGCTGTGCCCTTTTTGAATATGTGGAAAAGTAGGTTATCTTAATTACATTGTTCTTCTGAGAATAATTATGGATTTAAGTGAAAAAGGATGGTGCTATTTGAAAGCAGCTTCATTTTCTATGTATGTGGTATCTTGCTATCCCATACTATTTAAGTTTGTAGTAACTTTAGTGAGAACTGGTGACATGCCTAAGTGACTCAAAACAGATTCTGAAAAGTATTTTTAATTACTGGTGGAAAAAAGTGACCTCGGTGTTTTTAGGCCTTGCTGTGGGATACTATACAAGCACTTTTGGGGTATATGTACCCAATTATCTAAAACTACAGGAGGGGAACCTAAAAGAGCACCTGCCTTCTCCTGAAAAAAAAAATGGCACCCCAAAAGGAAAACTAAGATGGTTAGCGTCTATAAAGAGCTGATAATTAGCCTAGGATTAGATTAGTTCTGGATGTGCATAGAAAGGAAAGCCAACCTCACTTTAGACTGGGCGGTGGGGGGAGGGGAGCAATTCCATTTTACTTAACTATACAACCTGTTATCAAGTTGTATCATTTTAGTTCTCTGTTAAATACCCTAAAACTACATCATACAGTGATCAATATTATACTTTGATCTGTCAAAATTCAAGAACCATGGCAGCCTTCAGTGAGATTTCATGATCATGGTTGGTCATTCAAAAGACTGTAGCTGTAGATGAATGTGTTTTTATGTGCCTGGTTTGAGAGTTGGAAGGAGAAATCAGTGTAAGGAGGACACTTTAACCACTTTGAGTGGAAGTTTTCATCATTTTCCAGACTATTATCAGCCTGGTCCACCAAGAATTAGTGACCAGGTTTTTGGGAAAGGATTAGCTTCGCTCTAGAAAATGCCTGAAAGAAGGATTTTATTTTCTGATGAAAAGCTGTATGAAAATACCCTCCTCAAATAACTTGCTTAACTACATATAGATTCAAGTGTGTCAATATTCTATTTTGTATATTAAACAAATGCTATATAATGGGGACAAATCTATATTATACTGTGTATGGCATTATTAAGAAGCTTTTTCATTATTTTTTATCACAGTAATTTTAAAATGTGTAAAAATTAAAACCAGTGACTCCTGTTTAAAAATAAAAGTTGTAGTTTTTTATTCATGCTGAATAATAATCTCTAGTAAAAAACGAAATGTCTTTTTACCTACGCAGTGAAATGTCAGACTGTAAAATCTTGTGTGGAAATGTTTAACTTTTATTTTTCATTTAAATTTGCTGTTCTGGTATTACCGAACCACACATTTGTACTGAATTGGCAGTAAATGTTAGTTAGCCATTTACAGCAATGCCAAATATGGAGAAACATCATAATAAAAAATCTGCTTTTTCATTATGTGACTCCAACATGCTTTTGTAGAACTTGTGCAGTTCCAATTCTCCTTTTTTTCCCTTTTTCTACTGAAGGTAGAGTTATCATTTCAGATACCTTAAGATGCACTATTGACAGATTATTAATATGAAACTCCTCCTAGATTAAATGAACCTATATTGAGCATAATGTGCCAGGCCTTTCCGGATTATCTCATTTAATCTAATCCCTTTTGCTACCATATTAGCAATGACATTCCCTTCTCTTAAAAACCTGTGTCCTATTCCCTGGATGTTGATGATGAAAAACAATAGCTGCCCACAGATGACAATATCCTTTGGTTTGTCATACAACAAGGAACAGGTCCCACCAACACCCACAGAAAAATCAATGAACGTTTCAAGTGATGCGGGCCATAATAGACTACATTCAAACTGAGGAAGAAAGTTGTTTATGAATGAAAACTGATACAAAGCAAAATTTACTCTTACTTCAGCAGGTAAAGTAAGAGCTAAACTTCGGGTGTAGAAAAGAGGCTGAAAATACAGAGGCATTTATACCAATTGAATATTTTTTAAACTCTAGTCATCTAATCTCGCTTACTTAGCAGTTAGTGGCTCTTAACAGCATTAATAACTTAAAAGCATTTTCTTTGGTGAAAGAACCCAGGTCCTCTTCTTATATCAGGCTTCTGTTTCCTAGTTAAAATGAAACACTACCTTTTGGTAGGGAGACATTTTCACTTTATTGAGGTACAAACATGTTAATCTCAGAACAGAAGAGTTTATGTAGGTCACATTAGACACCCAAAAAACTTCCTTCACTCTATCCAGTCCACTTTAATGAGAGTTTATACTCTGTTCATTCTCCATACCTCACCAGAAACAGTCACTAGAGTAATAATATGTATGCAATGTAAAAAAGCCATAAACTTTTCTCTTATTGTTAGTGTGGCATTGTATAAAGTACTATCTTTGAATATACGTGAGGCTATGCTGGAAAGAAGAATCTAGGCCATCCAAAACCATTAGGAATGCAAAGAATTGAGATGATAAAACTTTTTCCAACTGCAGGAAAAGGTTCACAGAACATGAGACTATCTCATAAATATGTCCTGATCAGTTTTGCTACCCACTATGTGGCAGGCATACTAGATAAGCCGCTTCAAAGAACACTAAAGCAATACTAAAACTTCAAGGTGAGGCTCCTGCCCTCAAGGAATCAAAGATGAGAGGCACATGGCTCCAATGTAGTCATCCAAAAGGAATAAAAACATGTACACACAATGGTTTACTTGCAACAAATGTTCACAGTAGCCAAGAAGTGGAAACAACCCAAGTGTCCATCAACTGATAAATACATAACCAGTATACAATAGAATACCACACAGCAATAAAAAAGTGAGAAAATAATGCATGGTATAATATGGACGAACCTCAAAAACATTATGCTAAGTAAAAGGGGTCAGACACAAGAGACTATATATTATTTGATTTCAGTTAGATGAGATGTCCAGAAAAGGCAAATCTATAGAGACAGAAAGCAGATCAATGGTTGCCTGTGTTTGGGGATAATATCAAGGGTTAAGTGTAAATACATGAGGGAACTTTATGAGGAGACAAATGTTCTAAAGCTGGATTTTTATGATGGTTGCGCAACTCAGTAAACAATAAAAATCATTAAATTCTATACTTAAAGTGAATAAACTTTATGGTCTAAATTACATCAATAAATATGTATGTAAAATATTTTAAAAATATACATAAAAGGCTGACAAGTGAATGTGTAATTGCTTTTCACCTGTATCAGAGGCCAGTATGAAGTATTTTAAATATATAAAGGCACCATAAATAAATAGATAGATAGATAAATAAAATACATAAAGGCAGGTGCAGCCGTTTTTCAGGAAAGCCTATATGAAGATGTTTTCATTGTGCTGGGAGTTAAAGGATGAGCTGAAGGTTAGCAGCTTAGATAAAGGTTTACTCATTTAATATTAACAGATTCCCCCCAACGCTTAATTAGATACACGTTGTACTTGCCAAGACAGCAACCATGTGCAAAGAGATCGCCAATGTGACAAGTAAAATTCATATCACACATGACTGCTCATTTTAAATATACAAGAATGTGTGGCACAAATATTGTTTTAATAACTGTTAAAACTTTAGTAGTTACAAACTTATAATGAGGCAAATCTGGGTTCAAGTCTTGCTTCTATCATTTACTAAGTCTGTGATCTTGGGAAAGTTCTATAGCCACTTTAAGACTGTTTCAACATCTGAAAAAAAGGAACTAATACCAACAACTTGAATGAGAGAATTAATAAGATACAATATATTGAAGCTGCTTAGCTCAGTCCCTACCATCAGCAAGTGCTCAAAACATGTTAGCTGTTTTTTAAATCCTCAAGGAAACTGAAGAGAAAAGAGGAATTTTTTAATGTTCTCCCCAAAAATGCACAGAAAAAGTCAAGGTAAATGATGAAGAGAGATGAGAACACAAGGACTGTATACAAACCTCCAACCTCACATATCCTAATTAATAAAGGTCACGCATAGAGCTAGGGAGTTATGTTACTGGCCTACATTTTCTTTATCTCATACATTGCAAACTATCAGACCTCGGTAGGGATCATCCAGATACACTGAACATCCATTCAGAAAGGGTCTTCCATTTCCATCTAGTATCTCAAAGCGTGAGAAGAGCCAAGGCAAATCAGGTCAAAGAGGAACCAGCCTGTTAATCTTTTACGCAACATCGAGAGTTCTCCCAGGCCACCACTGTAATCGATGTATATAAACATGAACTAAATTTCGTTAACTGGCATTAATGAGAGGGAGAATAATCTGAAAGTCAAAATTATAAATATCTTTTTTTGTATATACCGAAAGAACTGAAAACATGTCCATACAAACACTTAGGCACAAATAATCATATCAGTATTCGTAATACCCAAAAAGTGGAAACAATATAAACGTCCATCAACTAATAAATGGATAAAATGTGATATATCCACACATTGAAATATTATTTAGCAATTAAAAAAAATAAAGTACTGACATATGCTACGACATGGATAAATATTGAAAATATTACACTAAATGAAAGAAGCTAGTCACAAAAGACCACAAATTTCATAAATCTATTTATATTAAATGTCCAGAATAGGCAAATCTGTAGAAATAGAAAGTAGATTTGTGGTTTCCAGAGGCTAGAAGAGGAGGAAGGGATATTGAAGACTGCTTAATGAGTACTGGGCTTCCCCTTAGGATGATGAAAATATTCTAAAATTAAATTGTATTGATGGTTGCACAACTCGATGCGTATATGAAAAAACTTTGTATATTTTAAATGGGTAAATTTTATAGTATCTGAATTATAGCTCAAAAAGGATGTTCAAAAAAGAAGAAATAGATCACATAAATAACTGTATGTCTATTTGTTAAACTGAATTTGGAGTTGAAAATCATTTCATAAAGAAATCTCCAGGCCCAGATTGTTTCACTGATGAATTCCACCAAACATTTAAGGAAGAAATAATACCAATTCAACAGAAATTCTTCCCCAAAAAAAACTGAAGAGGAGGGAAGACCTCAATTCATTTGATGAGGCCACCATTACCCTGATATAAAAATGAGACAAAAATTATAAGAAAACTAGACCAATATCTCTCATGATCATACATGTAAAAATTCTAAACAAAACTTTAGCAAATTGAATATAACAATATATTAAAAGGATGACATACCATGACCAAGCAGTTACCTGAGGAATACAGGGTTGGGTTCACATTTCAAAACCAACCAGTGAATTCACAATAGTGAAAATTTAAAAAGGTTACTAGACTTTAAAAAGTTAAATGCAATTGCCATATGACCCTGCAATTCCACTCCCAGGTATAAACCCAGAACTGAAACGGGTACTCAAGCGAATGTAGCAGCACTATCCACAATAGTCAAAAGATGGGAAAAGCCCATATGTCCATTAATGAATGAGTGAATAAATTCTAATATATATAAAGAATGAAATATTATTCAGCCACAAGAATGAAGTACTAATTCATGTCATGCTACGACATGGAGGAAACTCCAACACATCATGCTATGTGAAAGCCAGACATAAAAAGTCACATAATACATGATTCTATTTATATAAAATACCTAGAACAGATAAATCTATAGATACAGAATGTAGATTGGTGGAAAAGTTCCAGTAAAGATGGCGGGCTAGGTAAAAGCAAGGTTTGCCTCCTCCCAGGACCACATTAAAATTACTATCAAATTATAAAACAAACAACTTGGAGAACCACCTGAACTCCAGCCCCACTTAACCCATTGCCAGGCAGCCAGCCCCACCCTGAGTCATCCTGGGAGGTGCATTCCTAGGCAGGCAGCAGCTCTCAGCTTGCACTGCCTGCGTGCAACCCTTACATTGCAGGGGAGACTTTTGATGGCGGGCCACTAGTGCCAACCTGAATTGTAGTGTCTCTTGGGTGGATCTGCGGGCCCAAAGAAAATAGCAGCTGGCCTCACTGTGATCTGTGACTTTTGCGGGAACCTGAAGGCTCAGCACTGGCAGCAATCCACATTGGCTTGACAGAATTAGCTTGTTCTACCCTGTGTCTCCCTGAGATCCACTTCAGATCAAATGACACACAAAGCCTAAAAGTAAAGAGATAGAAAAAGATATTTCATACAAATGAAAATGAAAAACAATCTAGAGTAGCAATACTTATATCAGACAAAATAGACTTTAAAACAAAGGCTATAATAAGAGGTAAAGAAAGGCATTACATAATGATAAAGGGATCAATACAACAATAGGACATAACCCTAGTAAATATATATGCACCCAACACAGGAGCACCTACATATATAAAGCAATTATTGACCTACAAAAAAGAAGAGATTGACAGTAATACACTCACAGTAGAAGACTTTAACACCCACTGACATCAATGGACAAATCTCCCAGACAGAAAATCAACAAGGAAACAGCAGCCTTAAATGATACACTAGACC